AGCTTTTATAATCCCATAGGCTCCTATTAATTTAAAGGGGAAATCTATAAAAGTATTTTAAAAAATAATAATAAAAAGAAAAAGGTAAAAGTAAAAATGGTAACAGGGAAAAAAGGAGAAAAAAAGGAGAGGGAAAAATGCTCCCAAAATACACAGAAAAAAAGAAAAAGCAAAAATATCAAAATTATAATCCACCAAAATCTATTCTGGGAAGTTTCTTAATTTTCAATTCTTCTAGGACAGCTTGTTATGGTTCCAAAAGACACAGTATTTATAGTCCAGGGAGGCAGATGGATCCAAATACTATTTGTTTGTAAATATAGTCTATCTTATAAAGCCAAGTACACCAAGAAAAAGTCTTTCTCCAGCAAGGTTTCAAGGACTTTCAAATAAACACTATCAGGGCACGCAGCCAAAATTCTAATCTGAATAAGCTTCAATCAAGGGAAAGTGAAATAGTTCTCAATGTAACCACAAGGTGGCACTAAGTATCCATTCCCAAGAGGGGAAAAATGGTAAAAATAAAAAAGTCAGGAAGTTTAGAAAGTAAACATTACAATGGCTTTTCAACGAAGAACAAAGACAAAAAATCTCAATATGAACAGGAGCTTCCCAAATTTATCTTGCGCCTCAGACAGCTTTAAGGCATAGGAAGTTTTTAATTTGCTGAAAAGCTTAAACCACCGCTTAGGTTCAGGAGGGGGGGGGGAGAAAAAAAGTTCAATCCCTCCCTTAAATGTAAAAGGCACGCTCTCAAGCTGTAAAGGAACTATTTGCCAAACAGGAATCCACTTCCAGTGAGAAAGGAATTCTTACCCAGCTCAGATGTTTGCTGTCAGTCTAAGCTTCTTCTTCGTCTCCGACGATCAGCTGGCAATGGCAGACCACATAAATACGGTCCGTCTTTCTTCTGCCGATTCCAGGGGCTCCTTTGGCTCCAGCGAGCCGGCTACCGCTGACCTGCGGCCCCCAAAATTTTACCCCTTGGTGGTCACCTCTCTGGAGTGGCTTTCAGTCCAAATGGACCCACCGGCAGGCGAAAATCAGACCTGGGGAGAGGAGAATCTTTCCTCCGGGTCTATTCTTCAGCTACATCACTGGGAACTGAGGGGGGGGGAACTACTCCCTAGTTCTATATTAGATATTATATGATAACTATTTCATCTGAAAGAGTTTTCCTTTGGAAAAGAAACTACAGTAGTAGAAGTGGAAGTCAAAGAACTTTGCCTTTTCTCTATCGTTTGTATTACAGATAATCCTTATTTAAAATTGGTAATTGAAACTAGAATTTCCACAGCTAAATGGCATGGTCATAAAACAGGACAGCACTTCTAGTTGCTGTTAAAGGAATCCTATAACATTGTTAAGTGCAAAGATCATATGGTCACCATTTGTGACCTGTTGGCTTCCCCACTGACTTTGTTGGAAGCTGTCAAGTCGTAAATAGTGATTCCGTGATCATAGATTCTGTAACATAATTGCAAACCGGATGATCTCAGGGAAGACCAGTTGTAGGTATCACTTGTTCAGTGCCATGATAAGTTCTAAAGTTTGCTGAAATACTAACTTTTTGCCCAACTAAAATCTCTGCATTCATATGAGACAGCAGTGTGCTGCAGATGCCAAAAAAACCAACACAGTGCTGGGCTGCATTAACAGAGGGATAGAATCAAGATCACATGAAGTATTAATACCACTCTTCAATGCCTTGGTAAGGCCACACTTGGAATACTGCATCCAGTTTTGGTCACCACGATGTAAAAAAGATACTGAGACTCTAGGAAGAATACAGAGAAGAGCAACAAAGATGATTAGGGGACTGGAGGCTAAAACATATAAGGTTGCTAGAATTGTCTAGTTTAACAAAGAGAAGGATGAGGGGGGGACATGATAGCAGTGTTCCAATATCTCAGGGGCTGCCACAAAGAAGAAGGAGTCAAACTATTTTCCAAAGCGCCTGAAGGCAGGACAAGAAGCAACAGATGGAAACTAATCAAGGAGAGAAGCAACCTAGAATTAAGGAGAGACTTCCTGACAGTTAGAACAATTAACCAGTGGAACATCCTCCCACCAGAAGCGGTGAATGCTCCAACACTGGAAGTTTTAAAGAAGAAGACTGGACAGCCATTTGTCCGAAATGGTGTAGGGTTTCCTGCCTGAACAGGGGGTTGGACTCAATGACTTCCAAGGTCCCTTCCAACTTTATTATTATGAATCATCGCACAGTCAGCCAGATGTTCAGACTGGATTTGGCATTTTGTCTACCTATCGAGTCCTTACTCAGGACCTGGGATAGGCAGATGTGGATGTTTGATGGTATTACAGATATCGTCGCAGGATGGAAGCAGTTCCTAGTAAGGCCGCCTTTTGCAATTGACTAATAGCGAATTTGTCAATGTCAATGGTGTTCAAGTGGTGCTCCAGTTGTTTTGGGATTGTACCCAAGGAGCCTGTCACTATTGGTACTACCCTTGCTTGCTTTTGCCACAGTCTTTGTATTTCTATTTGTAGGTCTTTGTATTTTGTTATCTTCTCCAGTTCTTTCTCTTCTCTTCTGCTGTCTCCAGGCACTGCCACGTCCATTATCTAGATTTTTTTGTCTTTCTTATCGACAGTTGTTAAGTCTGGAGTGTTATGTTGCAGGTGCTTGTCTGATCTCCTTGAAATATTCCTCTCTTGATATTAACCTCTCCCAGTCTCTCACCATTGATTTGCAACTGTGTCTTCCATTGTGCCATCGATCTTTGCACAAATTATTATTATCATGGATCATCGCACAGTCAGCCAGATGTTCAGACTGGATTTGGCATTTTGTCTACCTATCGAGTACTTACCCAGGACCTGGAATAGGCAGGTGTGGATGTTTGATGGTGTTGCAGATTTCGTCACAGGATGGAAGCAGTTCCTAGTAAGGCCGCCTGTTGCAATTGACTAATAGCGAATTTGTCAATGTCAGTGGTGTTCAAGTGGTGCTCCAGTTGTTTTGGGATTGCACCCAAGGAGCCTATTACTATTGGTACTCTCCTTGCTTGCTTTTGCCACAGTCTTTCTATTTCTATTTGTAGATCTTCGTATTTTGTTATCTTCTTCAGTTCTTTTTTGTCTATTCTGCTGTCTCCAGACACTGCCACGTCCACTATCCAGACTTTTTTTGTCTTTCTTATCGACAGTTGTTAAGTCTGGGGTGTTATGTTGCAGGTGCTTGTCTGTTTGAATTCTGAAGTCCCAGAGCAGTTTAATTTTATCATTTTCTATGACTTTCTCTATTTTATGATCCCACCAGTTTTTGCTTACAGGCAAATGATATTTTTTGCAGATCTTCCAATGCACCATTGTTGCTACTTTGTTATTATTATTAATAATATTAATTATTATTATTATTATTATTATTATTATTATTACATCCTTAACATATCTGTTCTAAGTTGTTAAAGCATCAGGCTAGAAACCAGGAAGGTAGTCTCGCCTTAGGCATAAAAGCCAGTTAGGTGACTTTGTGCCACTCCCTCTTTTTCATGCCAACTTACTATAGCTCACTGGGTTGTTGTGGAGAAAATGAAACAAGTATTAGGTACCATTTTTTCCCGAAAATAAGACGTGGTCTTATTTTATTTTATTTTATTTTTTGCTTCCAAAAGAGGCATTAGGTCTTATTTGGGGAGGGGTGTCTTACCTTAGGACGCTGCAGCCAGGCCTTTTTTCCCTTGCCTTTAGTATTTTTATAAATAAGTCAGCAAACATACTGTGTTTCCCCAAAAATAAGCCCTACCCTGAAAGTAAGCCCTCGCTTGATTTTGGAGGTGGGTGGGCCTTATATAAGCCCTACCCCCCAAATAAGCCCTAGTTTTGGGGCAAGGCACACACCTAAAAATCAAACTAGGACAGAGGTGGGGGGGTGGAGCTGCCCATGTGCCCGCACCCACTTACCTTACTGGTAGGAAACACAGTATGTTTGATGACTTATTTATAAAACTACTAAAGGCAAGGAAAAAAGGCAAGAGTTTAAAAGCATTCAATTTCTATTGGATTGCTTATTGCTTAGACTTGCTCTACTATCATTCTTCCCCTGTATCAGTCATCATGAAATAAAATGCTTTCAGACTCATCTCACAGACAGCAGTTGTCTTCACAAAATCTTGAACTTCAACCCAAGAATTAGTACCATCTGAAGATACAATTTGCAGTCCAGATGTCCATGAAGACATAGCCCCTTACTTGAACAACCCAAGGATACTAAAAGAATTAAGGCTCTTAGATGTGAATTTAGTGTTCACCTAAGTAACAGGTTTATTAAATAGTACTGCCCTACATATGAGAGAGTTGTTTCCTACATGTTTGGTGATGCCGTATGCCCTCATTTCATGGCTGAAAAGACAAATGTGTACTGCACTTGGATTCAGCCTCCTTTTCTGTTTTCTTTCTGTGCCATTGGATATCTGCCTTTTGATTTCATGAAGCTTACCTTGAATTCTGATCCTATTGAACACTCACCTTGTTTAACTTCTGCTTAATTTCTGATCTGTTGCCTGGTGTTAATTAGAATAGTTCATACCCATAATATCCCTGAAGTGGGATATTAATAGATATGGGACTTCTACCAGTTTAGAGCAAAATGTTATTCTGATTTAAGAATTATATGAGATTATATTCCCTTTACAAAAAGTGAGATGTAGTCTTATTCACTGAAAGCATACCATATATTTTCATATTATAAAGTTTTCATGTTACAAAGTTCTAGGAAGAGACTGTATTAATTCAAGGCTTTTTCTAATTGTTTTTGATATTTATATTTGATATATATTTGATATTTATAACTGATATTTTTTCAGTTCAGCTGCAATGAATAGAGGTACTTGTCTTTTACAGAGAACTGTAATCTGCCTATCTGAAATGCTTGATTCTTAGTTTATATTTTATTATATCATAATCTGTAATAATATGATAGCAAACAGCATAATCTGATACCTGCAGATTAACATTTAATTTCTTGAATTTCATAGATCCACTAGATGGCGCAGTGGCTCTTCTGCCACCTGAATCCCAGCAACATTTAGTCCAGCTACTTTACTTTGTGCCTCGTTTACCAAGCAATCTTCTTGCTTCTCTCAGCCGCTGTTGCATTATGGGAAAGTTGTCTGTAAAGTTAACCACTACTCTTATTAGGATACTGCGTATAAGGTAATTAGCCATTTCTGTTTTGTTTTTCCGGAGTGAACTTCACTAACACATGAATAAAATCTTGTATATTTTAAGAATATTATTAGGGTTCATCACACAGTCACCAAATGTTCAGACTGGATTTGGCATGTTTTTCCATCCATCAAGTCCTTCTGGGATAGGCAAATGTTGATGTTTTATGATGTTAGAGGTATTGTCATATGGTTTGTTGCAGAGTCAGCCAGATGTTCAGATTGGATTTGGCATTTTTGTCTGACTATTGAGTCCTTCTCAAGGACCTGAGATAGGCAGGTGTGGATTTTTAACGGTATTACAGATATTGTCACCAGATGTAAACTGTCCAAGTAAAGCTGATTTTTTCAGTCTATGGATGGTGAATTTGTCAATGGCTATGGCCTGCAAATGGTGCTCTAGTTGTTTTGGGATTTCATTCAAGATACCTATGACTATCAGTACTACATTTATTGTAATTTGCCACAGTTTTTCTATTAATATTTGCATTGTAGTTTGTTATTTTCTCCAGTTCTTCTATTCTGCTCTTTCCAGGTACTGCCACATCCACTATCAAGATTTTTTTTTGTTTTTCTTATCGACAATTGTTAAGTCTGGCGTGTTATGTGGCAAGTGCCTCTCTTAAGTCTAAAGTCCCACAGAACTTTAGCTTGTTCATTTTCTATGACTTTCCAGTGAGGTCCCTTCCAATGGGTAGTCAGGCAATTCTTATGCTGAAATACTTTTCTCAGAACCCAATCACCATCTTTCAATCTGGCAGGGTTGTAATGGTTTCTTGGGCATAGCTGCTGCAATCTGTGAATGACAGTCTTTAAGAGATGTGAGAAGAGCTTGGCAAGAGGTCAACATAACAGTAGCCAACATATGAATGTCTTTCAGATATAGTCTTGTTGAGAAAGAGTCATTCTTATGGACATTAGGGCAACCTGAACAGCTGCAACAGAGGTCTTAAGGCCAATCAGTGATTTTTTTTCCAGTTTTTCCTTGGTACTTTTGAAGGATTACAAATGCTGTTTTCTGTACTGCTTTTCCATTTCTGCATATCAAACCATAAAAGCAGACCAATTGCCCGGCTTGAGGGAGACATTAACATTATAAACATTCGCAAAAATTAAATTTGTCTCTGTCAAAAATTCTAGCAAGGGGAAACTGACACCTAGGTTCTTGTGTGGTTAGCGCAAGTATTGACAGAATATAAGTCCCTTATGAACATACATATACCATGCCAGGGTACCTTTTTAGGAATCTCCCCCCTCTTAGGTTGAGAACATCCCATTATAGAATGAAGAGATCACAAATTAAATCAAAGGAACAGAAAAAAAGCTGAGCAAAGGTTATAAAGATGTGAGTAGACGTGGGACACTAACTTGTCCAATTCAGGCTAAAATGCTTGTGATTATACTTTGTTGTCTCTCAACTGTGCATCCATCCATTGATCTCAAGATATACTGCATTTAATCATGGGTGAGGGCATGGTTGAGGGCCTACAATGTTCTTATGTAGTTGGTTCATTTATTTTCTTTCTTCTCCCATTTTTTCTTTTTTACTTTCACTTGGGCAACTGAGAGACAATGGTCATGGGGCAATAGAGGGAGGCTGAGCCTGCCAACACAGACTGTCCTTATCTATGCAAGAGGCCTCCTCCCTCAATAGCAGTGATCATGAAGTGCACCACCCTAGCAAATAAGCTGATCCTTATCTACGGGGAAGGTAGCACCAATATTAGTTATGAACAAACAACACTGTCCTAGCAAAGAAGCTGGCCCTTATCTACGAGAAAGGCATTATTCACCATTAATTAAAGAGAGGAAACAACTACAGAAACAAAGAATGTGCGTGTACAATAAAGAAAAAGAAAAAAATTAAGCAACAGTGGATGTTGCTATGCCCAAAAACATAGAAAAATCAGGAAGCAAACAAATTAAAGCAGGAAAAAATCAATTCAAGATAAGGAAAGTAACCACAAACCATCAGAACACAATTTTAAAGAGCAGTTTCCAAAAATACCCACAACAATGCACCAAATCCAAAACTCTTACTGAAGTGTCCACAACAACACCGTTATTTCTAATATTGAATAAAATAGCACTCACCTAATTTAATAAAGAATTAATTAATTAATTAATTAATGTATACATACAAGGAAACTCCAATGCACAATATCAGCTAGGGGTGAAAATAAAAGGAACATATCTCCCCTTCATGCAGCTTAAATAAAAGCCCAAAGTTCAAACATCAAAAATGCAATCTCAGAGCTCAATCTGCAAATCAGCAGCCGGAAAAAGCTTGAGAAATGACATAACCTTACTTCCTGCCGAGCATCGTTGACGAGGGAACACAAAACCCTTGTAAATGAGGCTGCAAGAGATAACACTTGTGGGTACGACCCTCATCTTGAGGCGCTATCTCGAATCACTACAAGGGGGTGATCGATCCTCAGGAACATCAGCCTCCTTTCGGGTCTTAGCCACGGTAGTTTCTGCTGCTACCAGGCTTGCCCGACTGTTTTGCCTAAGGGCACAACAATCTTCTACACATATACCTTGCTATCTTCTAAGTACATCCGGTTGTGACCCTTCCCATGCAGCCAAAACTGGAGATGGCACAAACAGGGGTCCCAAGAAAGGGGTACCTCCTTATCTCTGGTCCAAAGTGGAGTGTGATTGGGTATTTGGAGAGGGAGCACAAGCTGATTGCCTATGGTCCAAACCTGGAGCTGGTCAGATGCTCCTGTGGAACACAAAGCCTCTTTCAGCTTCGTCCCTTCCTGGCCAATGCACCAAAAGTGTTAGGGCAAAAATTTGTTAAAGAGAAACAAGAGACAACACACAACAAAATTCTCACTTTAGGATCTAGAGGTTTATTTAAATTTGACACACAAATTCAGTACTTACATTTCAACAACTTAGTGCAATAAGGACCAAATGGACAGCAGTTGTAAGGACCCACCCCACTTTGCATCTTAAGAAGACAGAACTCTTGGAATAATTCTTCCAACAGGAATCCTTTATTAAGAGAAAATGGTTGCAGGCATGCTAGACAGGACTTGGGGTCCAAGCTCTCCCATTCAAGGTTTTAAGGGGTTCCCCAGTAGTCCCACCCAATCAACCCCCCTTCCAGTGATAGTTTCAAGTATCACAATTCCACTCCCTTTCTTCTTTCTTCCGTCTGGATGGAGACTTCAGATAACTACATGAAAGGCAACTTCCCTCCTTTGGTATGTTAACGCTTCGAGGTTACAATAAACACACATTCAGCATTCAGCTCTTTGAAGTGTAAAGAAGGAAGTGAGGGCCATAAAGCCCCTTTGTTCTCCCCCTTCTCTCCCTCTTATGGCAGAATCCAGAGAAGGCAGAATTGGGAGTTTCTATATTTGATAATTTAAAGATGAAATATAATTGGATTCTGACATCCGGCCCCTCTTAACAATAAGAGAGATCCACCTGAAAGAAAACACAAGTATAAAATTTAGTCAGGCTTGTTAGGATACTCTGTGTGAAACTTCTTCAATAGCTTCGGGGCTCTGACATGACGTTTATGGACCCACTCATTTTGTGAGGGAGGGAGGTGTTTCCAGGCAACTAGGTACTGAGTTGCTCCATGATATCTCCTAGAGTCAAGGACTTCCTTTATTTCGAAGTGTTGTTCACCCTCCACCATGATTGGAGGTGGTGGGGGGGGGATTTTTGGCCGTAGAGGTGACTGATGCTCTCTTTTCAGCAAGCTGCAATGAAAAATTGGGTGTATTTGCCTGAGATTTTTGGGTAATTCTAATTCTACTGTTACTGGATTTATGATTCTTTTAATTGGAAAAGGTCCTATGTATTTTGGTCCAAGTTTTTTACAGGGCTGTAGGGACTTTAGGTATTTTGTAGATAAGTACACCATTTCTCCTATAATGAATGGTGTAGGCTCAAACCTTTTTTTATCGGCTTGTGTTTTGTAAGCCTGCCTAGCTTCATCTAGTGCTTTTCTGACTATTGGCCAGGTGTTTTGTAATTTTTCCATCCATTCTTTCAGCGAGGGGATGGTTGGTTCGTTTGGGGTTAATTCTGGCATGGGGTTGAAACTTTGACCGGTGGCTATTGGAAAAGGAGTGTAACCTGTGCTGGAGTGGACTGCATTATTGTAGGCAACTTCTGCAAAGGGGAGTAAGTCCGCCCACTCGGTCTGCTGGAAACTAAGAAAACATCTTAAATATTGCTTAAGTACTGAGTTCATTTTTTCAGCCCCCCCATTTCCTTGAGTGTGGTGGCTAGATGTCAGTCCCTGAGTGGTTCCTAAGAGGGATAAAAATTCCTTCCAAAATGCAGACGTAAATTGCACCCCCTGTCAGAGATGATGCGTTGGGGTGCCCCATGCAATCTGTAAATGTGTTGGATGAAAAGTTTTGCTAAGGCTTTTGCAGTGGGAATCTTTTGGCAAGGGATAAAGTGCACCTGTTTTGAAAACAAGTCTGTGACCGTCCAGACCACAGTATTCCCATTGCTTTCTGGCAATTCCACTATAAAATCCATGGCTATTTCTCTCCAGGGGGCTGAGGGACTTGCCACTGTTTTCAATAGTCCTGGCACTTTCCCTTGCAACCTCTTTGCCGTGGCACATTTTGGACAACTGGCTATATAACTTTCAATGTCCTTTTTCATGGATGGCCACCAAAATTGCCGTTTAATTAAATGTAAAGTTTTTACAAATCCAAAATGCCCTGCTGATTTTGTGTCATGGCAAAGGTGCATGAAAGTTACTCTGTGAGTTGTTGGTATATATAACTTTTCCCCTATCCAAGGCAACCCGTCTTTCATTGTGCACACATTTTTGTTTTTCTGGAACCAATCATCTGTTTCCAAACTTTTTCTGCATTCAATTCCAGTTTGGCTGTCCAGTTGTGGTTTTAATTTGGCTTGGGTTCTTGTGGTTACTGGTGCTGCCAGTTGTGACTCTGCCATTATTGGCCTAGAGTCTGTGGTTCGTGCGCTGTTATATTGGGG